TTTCATTGATAACTTTCCCAACACAAGAATGATTAATTTGATTTAAATTATTTGTTACACATGAATTGGCGTGGGATTGTATTGAAGCACAGTAATCTGAGCTCTCTTCAAGTTATAGATAGTCAAACTGTCAAATGCCTTCCTATAGCCTGGGCTAAGATATAACTTCCCCAAGTCACAGTAATCCTCCATCTTATGGGAGATTGTTTGTCACCACCAGACCTTAACAACTTCTATAAAAACTTCTAACTCAAAACAAAGGCTACCAACCCACAGTAGTAAAATTAAACCTTACAAGCTCCTGCCTTTCTGTTCTTTTCTTCAATAGATCTGTTTAAGGTCGACAGTTTTGTTCACTATTCTGAAAATAACAAAACTTTGAATTGAGGGACATGATTCCCTGGAGTGTGGACAAGTCTGCTACCCAACATAAATGCTACTAACTTACCAGATTAAGAAGCCGCAATCTAAATCTATTTTCATATATTTAATACAAGTAACTAATTCAAGATGTCTGTATGGTTATCCATACAAGTTTGCTAACTATTTCTGATAATAATTACTATTCTAAAATGGAGTATTTTAGTCTATTAAGGCACCAACGTCAACACAAACCAGTTGCATGTTATCTACATTCTCCTGGTTGTACCCTTAGATAACTGCCAAATCATTTACAACTAATATTTACTACCCTACCCTATAGCACCGAGGTCTAAACGTCAGAGAAGAACGCTGCAATGATACTACAGTAAAATCCATTGCTCTATGCTACATGAGTAGGTTATTTTTCAAGATTCTACCACACTTTTACCTTATATACATACAATGAGCAGATGGAAACTACTCTAAAATGGGAAATATCACACATTTGTTTCTAAACAACAAAGAGCTGACTTTGTGCTAACTTAGGAGATTTATGAGAAATATTTTATTGACTAATAACTGGTCTAGGTAATCTCATGCACACAGCTGAAGTAAATCTGATTGACTGTTACAATTCACAAGCAACATATCTCAAACATTTTATCAAGTGGTAAGCTGTGCTAAAAACAATTGTTTTGACCATACAAGTATTTACTTCTGTTTGGTAATGCAGCTATGATTCACTTCAAAGTCCAGCTTACTATAATTTTACCTCCTTCGTGAGTAAGAGTTCATCTGTTTCTAGAAGCGTCATTTTCTACATCTCAAGTCTACAGCAGCAGTTTCTCTATTCATTATACACTATACACTTCCAAGCTTCTGAATAAGATGCAGTGGCTGTGAATGCCTGTCTACTCTGCTGTTTCAAATGTGTTCAGTACTTCCTGTCTGTTACTTACTGCAGCTACGATTAACCTGCATTAAAAGCACACACTGTTAGTGAGTGAAAGTAAGAGCTGTCCTGCGTATAACAATGCCTTTCCCTCTAATGGCTTGGATAAAAGCATTTTAATTCAATAAACAAATTATAAATAAATAAAAATTATAAATACAAAATATTGGAAATACTCCTTAAAACAACAATATTATATGGTGTAGCATCAGTCATGGTTTCTTCAAATAAAAATCTTATCGAATTGTAAGTAACATCTCTCCTTGTTACATTAACACAGAAACATTTAAAATTATCAGGCATACCTTTGGACAAGAAAGACTAATAAAATCAAGATAAAACTTTACAACCAAATTACATAACAACATAGAAATACAAATATTAAAACATCACTAGAGAACATCAGATACTTACTGTACTCTTCTATTCCTGGAATGAATCATTTCAAATTTTCAGTAAAAGAATGTTTTTATAACTTCATTTATTTACTCTGTGTAACAGATGAATCATCATCAATCTGCAGCGGTATGTAAGTACTAAAATGCTTTCGAACAGAATCAAGTTAGAGCTCCAGTTTTGGAGAAGCCATGTTTAATTGTGTACATCCTGGGTAGAAATATGTTGTCACAATTTGGATGATGTTGATCTTTAGATGACAATGATCTTCATGTTCAAGAAATCTTTTTGAAAAATTAAAAATACCATATTTTCTGATGACAACTTTAAATTCATGCTTAGGTGCAAATATTGCAAAATCTTATTTCATTTTCCTTAAGTGAAGCACAACTGTGGATGGAGTTTACAACCATTTCAAACTGAACACAAATTACAGTAACTTACAACAAGCATATTTATCTCACCTCAGTAAGGTCTGAACCCTCTATTATTTTTGTCGACTCCACTTGCACCACGACTATTGATACGATTGGCAGGACCATAGCTGGAATTCATCTGGCCGTAGCTCCCCATTTGATAATCACCGGCTCCTCCTCCTGATCCCCCAACCCCACCACTTGCAGCAGCAGCTGCCGCAGCAAACTGGTTCCAATCACCCATGGAAGGAAAGCCTCCAAAGCCAAATCCAGGATAGCCACCATAGGTAGAAGCCATTGGGTTGTTCATTCCTTCATAGCCACCACCAGAACTTCCACCAGTACCACTAGAGCCCTCCATAGCTGAGGAGACATTACGCTCACCAGCCATGCTGCCCTTGACATCTCCCATACCATAAGGAACTTCATTGTAATTATCCTTGTCGTAATTACTAGCACTACTATGGGAATGACTTCTTCCAGAGGCTCCCCCTCCTCCATAACTTGCACCACTCCCAGTACCATACCCACTTCCACCTCCAAAACCTCCAGTCCCACCACCCCCTCCTCCTCCACCTCCCCCTCCAAAACCACCAGGGCCAAACCCTCCAAAGCCACCAAAGAAGCCTGGCCCAAAACCACCAAATCCCATACCATTGAACCCAAACCCGGGACCAAAATTACCCATTGCTCCAGGACCAAACCCACCAAAGGCTGCCGGATTGAATCCACTCATCAACGCAGCAGCTGCTGCAGCAGGATTACTGAACCCACCACCCCCAAAACCACCCATGCCACCAGTACCAGCCATGCCACCAGTACCAGCCATTCCACCACCCCCAAAACTACCACCATTACCACCCCCACTGCTGACAGGACCTCCAAAATTTCCTGGAAAAAAGAAAATTATCGATAATTTTAAAAACACACTACATGCAGCTATCTTATTTAGCAGATAATTGAAAATGTAATGAAAAGTCAGGTTTTCCCACCACAACACTACAGTGAACCTGATTCCGAGTGATGTATATGTTTTGGTTTTGCCCAGGGATAACTCAAAGGTATAAAAATATCTACAAAATTTAGACTTGTAGACTGTCTAATTCCTCTTGTCCTCATCCCTCCTAACCACTTTGCTTCTGGTTCTTATTCTGTTTGTGCTCTAGACAAGGATTTAAGACAAAATAGACCAAAGACAATCTAATGAAGATCTATCAACTATTGCATATATATCAAGACTTATGTGAAGCCTGTATTTACAAAATGAAAAAAACTGATGGTGTTTGATTCTCCTGTGCAAAATTGTGTCATTCTAAGAAATGTGGTCACCTCTTCCACCAGAGCCTCCGTATCCAGAATTCATTGCACTGAAACTTCCACCACTGGAGCCCCAACCCGGGAAACCTTTTTCCAATAAACAAAAAGTAGCACTGTCTTAAATCCATCACAGATCTGAGTTCAGCATACAAGGAAAGCCTTAACTATTATCTTCTTGTAGGTGGATTTGGAAAGATTTCCATATAACCCCATAGATTAATTATGCATTCCACTTCATAATGACTAAATATAAAGGGTACTTTTGCAACACTCTATGCATAATCAATGTATGGGGTTATATGGAAATCTTGCCGTGGATTTTGAGGTCAAATGTGAAAGCAGGGTTTTTTTGGCAGTTTAAGTTGAGAGTTACTGAAAGGTATAGTTTTTACACTTAATCCTTTGTTCCCTAACAGTGACTAACATCTAATTTCTCCTTACAACATAACCCCTGGATCAAACATTACAGCCACAAGAATAAAGGAAATGATCATCAACTTAAAAAGACCTTGATTGTTAAACAAATTCTCCATGCCAGCACCAAAGGAAATGTACAGAGAACAGTATGGAGAATATGCATACTGATGTTAGGCCACAGGGGCTTAATAGGTGGGAATTTATAAGCCAAAATGCCTATCTATAAATGCCTTTAGTATAATTTTAGAGCTAGGCAGAGTTTCCAGCAATATGATTGGTCGAGTGGTTCCTTATATGATGCTATATAAACTGCTCCATGCGGTTTATATAAAATGTTAAAATAAAATGTTAATGTATGTTACTAAAATGTTATGATTTTAGAAATTTCTCTGTTGCTCAGCTTTCAAATTATACTAAAACAATTATTCGCCTCAGGTTTGGTGAATATTGTCGAATAATTCCCTCGACTTCATCTCGGGTATTACTCGACGATATTCACCTCGCCTTCGGCGAATAATTGTTAAATAGTGGCTATCAATTAGGGAGGGGTAGGGGTGGTTAGCGGTATAGAATCATCTTCTGCAATCCTAAACCGAAATAAACTTAGGGTATCTTTCGTTTCGAATATTTTCAAAAGACTATCTTTATATGTTGTAGGGAAGAGTTCCTTCTATAAAGAAGCGTACCTAACCTTCAGAGCTGGGAGTGTTCAGTGCTCCGTTTGAGCGCCGTGACTCTTTCAATTCTTGTTCCTCCTTCTTCCTCATGGTTGCCTGAGATTCCGCCTTCTTAACTTCACATTGCTTGAGCTTTATTTGATGGAAACTGATCGAACAAATGTTCTCAACTACTTCTTCATTGTCAAAAGTGACGAATGCAAAGCCACGAAGTCGACTGGGATTTTCTTTATCTCTTTTGAGGTCGATATCTAATATTTTTCCCTTGCCGAACTTTGTACACAAGCCGGTGAAATACTCTTCCACATCTTCCTCTGTGGCTGTGCTTGCCAACCCGCCGACAAAAATCTTTCGTGTTCTCGACTGAGCTTCGCCCTTAGGAACCGAACGTTTTGGTTCAATTTCCCAGTTATCAAGCTCGTGGTTTTTCACTTTCAAACAATCATCAACAGCTTGAGCGTTGTCGAAAGTGACAAATCCGAATCCACGCGAAGGCCCATTCTTGCCTTCGCGCATTATAACACAGTCTACGATGTTCCCCCATGCAGAAAAATACTCGTTCAAACTTTCTTCTGTTGTTCGGCGATTAAGACCACCAACGAAAATTTTTCGCAGCTGCTCAGGTTCTGAAGAAGACATGATTTAATCAGCCTTACAACTCTTTCTCGAGATGTCAAAGAAAATGGCGGTCGGAAATACGCCAAATTATTGATGGGACCACGTGTTCAAATTGTAACAATAAACCATCCTAATTTGGAATTCTCCACAATAAAAACAAACATGGCGTCTTCTGCATCGGTTGTACCTTTGAAAAGAAGGAAAGTGAATGCCGAAGATGCCTTTTGTGACAAGTTTTTGAAACTTGAAGATGACCTTTGTAAAAATTTATCGCCGCTTGAGTTTTCTTCTCCAATAACGCACGTGTATAACCCGCTTGAATATGCCAGAGAAACACATGAAGACTATGTCAAGAAATACTGCAAAGCTGGGCAAAAAGTGCTCTTTTTGGGAATGAATCCTGGTCCGTTTGGAATGGCTCAGAACGGGGTAAGCTTGTATGATGAGTTACGTTTCTGTTAACCAGCAAGTGCAGCACCTTTCCCGTGAAGTAAATTCCCGGAAGCCGATATTTGATCGACATGCCTGTTCCCAGAGCATAAAGCTCCCAAAAAGTCTAGAATCTTGTAGTGCAATCTTTTCATGATAGGAATCTGTTAAGCAATTCTCCATACCAGCTGCTTTAAATAATGAAGATAAATTTTTTTGTACGTAACTCCCACCAGCTGTTAAGTCTTTATGTTCCTATCACTTGTATGATGGATGTATTGATACCAGAGAGATCTAAAATCTGGAGATTTTTCTCTTATGCCACCACAGCATCAACTCAGCAGCATCCCCTGCATACCCCCCCCCGCCCAACTGAAAACTTGAGAAACGACAAGAAGAGTTTGTAAAACCAAAATCGTTTTCATTTAAGTAAATCTGGGGATATGATGTTAGCTTACAGAGGAGCAAAGCCTTTGAAAGCTGGTTCATTGCTTTTATCTGCGAGATTTGGTGAACCATACTGGAGACTCACTATCTTTTAATAATCATGGTTCTTTTGATAGTTTTCTACAATAGTCTGTCCTCAAAAACAAAGGAAGAGGTCTTATATTTAAGATCTAAAGAGAATTCTGCAGAGTGTTTAACTGCTAAGACTACTTACATTACTTTGCTTTCAATAACTCCTGTTTGTTTGATAGGTACCTTTTGGAGATACCAAACATGTCATTGACTGGCTTAAAATAAAAGGTAGTGTGAAGAAACCATTTAAAGAGCATCCTAAAAGACTTATACATGGACTTCACTGTACAAGGGCAGAAGTTAGTGGTAGCCGACTTTGGGGTTTCTTTCAAGAACACTGCAAAACACCAGAGACATTTTTTGCGAATTGTTTCATTCACAACTATTGCCCACTAGTGTTTATGAAATCAAGTGGTAAGAATGTGACACCTCCTCAGCTGCTTAGGAAAGAAAGAGAGACTTTATTGGAGCTCTGTGATAAATCTCTGGCAGATGTCGTGAAGTTGATGGATGTAAAAATTGTTGTTGGGGTTGGGAAATTTGCAGAGGAAAGAGCTCGGAAGGCTTTAAAAGACAATAATGTTGAAATTTATTCAATTATGCATCCCAGTCCAGCAAGCCCTGCTGCAAATAGCGGGTGGGACAAAATTGCTTTAACACAACTCAGAGACCTTGATCTTATGTGTTATATCAAAAATGAACATTAAAATCCAGCTTTGTCCTGATAATTAACCCTCTGGGTAGTATTCTTTGTAACAATGTCAATTATTGTAACTTGAAATACGCTACCCACTCACCTGGATCTACCTAAACCCTCTCAATACCAAGATTTCGTTAGTAATTCTTCTTTCTGTCTGCCATACAATTCTTATGATGTTACTTTAGAGAATTTGGCATTGTATCAACTGATTGTTTCACTTCTAAAATGGCAAACAGCTGTTGACTTTGATCCGACCAAACTCTACCGCTCATTTTGTTAAGAAAGTAATTCATTATGACCAACAACAGTCCTTTTCAGGACTGGTCTCGCCCGAAGGAGTATACAACACAACTCAACTGTTCTTCCCTCACTCAAACCAGTAACTGCTCAGTAAATAAATAAACATATGGTGTGGTTTTTCACCTTACTTTATTTTTTTACTATGAAACTCAATAGAACGATAATTTTGGTGACTACAGAAGAACATATTTCCTATTCTACATGTTAAAATATCTTTTAATTGATTCTATTTCCATTGAAACTACCATAACTCAGCCAACAAGATATCCACTAGGGCAAGATTAATATTGTTATTCACTTTGTTACCCAAAGAACACAGAGTTTTAGCATGCAGGTTGAGTGACTAAAGGTAGCACAAAATCAATGTTAAAAAATGAAAAAAGACTTAGCTGGAGACAGTTTCTTAACATGTCTAATGATTTTTTCTTTTAACATTCAACTATAACTGTAGTTGAAGATGAAATATTATCTGGAAACAAAAAGTTCTTACAAATGTAAATTAAAAATTTGATTCGTAATCAGTATGTTAACATTTTACCCATCTAAAAACCAAAAAATTACAAAGGTACCATGAAAAAATTACCAGTAATGCTGATTATTTTAGTTCTGGTAAAATGATTGGTTACGTACAAATCAAAGGTGTTGATACCTATATATTAATATAAATTTTTATAATTTCATACATAAGAGAAACTGTACAGTGACATTATAAACAATTGGCAATTTCTTTTATGTTGAAAACAAACCATAACCCTGCCTTTCTCCCTTCCTAACCCATGAACCAACTTAACACAAGGCTTCAAAGATGCTTCTAGTAAGGCATGCACGGAATCTGATTAAGTGACATTGAAAGTGCCTGTAACCTGTAAAGTACAATTTTCACAACATAATAATTAGAATTCCCCTCTTCAGTCTCTAACAAGTAATTTTATCTTTAAATAAATTTACATTAAAACATTGCATTGTCTCTCCTTTCAAAGTTTCTTTTGATTCATTTACCCTTACCATTTGTATGAGAAATAATATCTGAACTTTTTTGCTGATTAGGCAAATTCATGTGCATCTAAAAGAACTAAAATTGGGCCTGTTGAGGATTGGAGTGGTCTCTGATTAATGCAAGTAGCAAGGCTTCTTACTATTATAATAATAATTATTTTTATACTTATTGCAATATATTATTTGCTAATTATTTATTTTATTAAAGTTATGTGAAGTAAACTTTGTGATTACTTTAAAGTTTGCTGAACTTATATTTGCAAAATCTTTGTAATATCACTACCTTTTACACTACCTTCCATATATTATATTTAAGAGCTCTTAATAACTATATTTACCATCACAACATAGTATTCCTTATATGCAAAAAATGTTGGAAAACTTTTAATTATAACTGCAGACTTATTAGGTGAATGATCCTGATAAAATATTTTTTAATGTTGTCTGTTTAAAAGCATTGCTAGAGCACCTAATTTTCAAGTAGTAAGGCCAATTACTTGAGTGCCAACTTGTAAATTTGGCTTGAGACTGAGAAACTTTAAAATGCTTCTATTAAATATGTTCATCAGGAATCCTCCACACACTTGATTGCCCTAACCTCAGCTGCTATGGGTGCTTCCACCATTAGTTTCACACCAAACCATTTGCTCTGAACCTAAAAGAGAAAAAATTGAAATGTAAAGGTTCTCTTCCATCTCGCCTCAGCTCTCTCAAGAGAGTGTTACAAAGAGAAAAACCTTCACCATGGCCTCCTACCCTAACCCAAGTTAGGGTATGGGAGGAGTGAAGACTAGACCAAAGAGAATGAAAACTAGAGATTGAGCCCATGTAAGCAGTTTCCTTCCTGTTCTAAAGGAATACTCTGTGAATAAATACATCTAAATTAAATGTAATTTTCAAATTGTGCGAGGTTTGAATTATAAGCGGGTGAAAACATCTTGGATGATGCGGAAAAACTTAGGAGTTAGAGAGGAAATAACCTAACAAATGTTTATAAAAAATAAGGGAATAGGAAGAGTTGGATTTAAAAAAAATTTAAAACTGCCAAATTGCATAATTTATGAAAGCTCTAATTTGTGAAAAACCATTTACCTTCTCAAAATGCTCTGATCTGAGTTCTGAGTACTCAATCAATATTTCCCGAAGTTCTACTTCTTTCCGCCAATCAAAGTGAGCAAGCTCAGAAGACAAGTCTTTACAAAGAAACTCGAGGTTTGTTTTAGCATCTGCACAGTTTGAGTTTGCCTGAAAAAGTTGGAAATATTATCAAGATTGAAAAAAGTAAATAATAATCAGAAAGCAATAATTATACAAACAAATTTTAAAGTTAATATTATCAAGCTTTACACAGATTTTTCATTGCCATTTTAATGACTAAAAAGCACACCAAACAAACTCTTGAATTCATCTTGTAAAAATGATGAAATAAATAGACAATAAAAGAAAATAGTATTCACCCATTGTGATCTATGTTCTCTCATTAACAAATCAACAGTTGATTAGGGTGGTCTATACTCTTATTACACGACTCGGGCAGTCAGAGGGCCAATAACTAAAATCAACAAATCAAAATGCT